CCCCCCCCCCCCCCCCCCCCTGAATCAGAGTAATCAAAGTTATAATGCCTGGTCTACTTATAATGTGACTAATGAATATAAAACCGCTGTATCATGGAATTGTATTGTTGGTCTTTATGTGAAATTTGATGTTAATGAAATGATAACAGAAGCATATCATTCCACAGTCATTTATCTCCCCCCAAAGCATTGGTTCAGTAGGGGTGACACTTCAATTGTGCAGTGTGTGTATTGTGGCGGGTGGTATTGTGGTGGGTGGAATTCCAAAATTGTAAAAATAAAAGAAATTAATAGGAAGAAAGAGGAATTAATAAAAATAAATTCTGATAAACAATAACTTGACTACGTGTTATACAAATAATGTAAATGGCAGGTTTATGATCCTTTCAGCGTTGTTCACCGGCAGACAGGTGTATAATCAAACCTAGTGTTCTAATCATTAAAGACGCCGTAAAATAGCGACTTGACCGATAACGTTGTAAAACTGTTCCAGTCTGTTTACACTGTATACTTATCACCAGGTATATCTTGGTTGTATTTGAAATCCATTGTATATGGTTGATATTTATTTAAAGGCGAAACCAAAAGAACTTGAGGCGCTGGACGTGCTTTGGTTTGCTTTACAAGTAGCTTCGCCTGTTTTTGTTTGACCCGTACCCCCCCCCCCCTCCACCCCCACCCCCATTCCCGCTTGTGCAGCCTCTACCAGAGTCACAATAAAAAATTATTTTACTAGATATTTCCAATATATCTGGCTTATTCTGTGCAATTTTCGGTAGCTTTCAGGGAAGAATTTATGCAAGAATTTCATAAATGACGCCATAGGCTACCGAGTAGCTGTTTTATTGTAGAAAGTACCAATGGACCTCTAATGCCCCCCTTCCCTTCTTCCCTTCTCCCAAGTAAAATCTTGCATCTGCCAGAAGCATATTGTGTTATACTTACCAATAATATCTGTTGTCAATTTGATAATGTTGATCTATTGGTTCCTGCTCCTCGGATGCTCTGGTGGACGCTCTCTTTGTGGCTCTTTCAGCATCAAAAGTTCAACAAATTCAGCTACGCTTCTCTCCGCCTTGCTACGGTCACGCCTGTTACGTGTATGGCATATCGCCACCCAATTAATACTGAATTAATGCATCATTCAGTGTCCCACATGTGCCTTAACTGTCAAGCCCCAATTGTCCCGTTTCTATTAGGGTACTGCTGCCCCATTGCTCTCGATCTCCTGACGAAGGTCTCGTTTTCGAAAGTATACAACATCGCCAGATTCGGTATCTTGAAATGGAAACGAGATATCTCTGCGGAGAAAGTCAAGCTACGATCGTATAATAGTATGTCATAGATAAAGTTGGCACACAACAATCGGCACATGCTATCTGGAAAGAGATAAGCTGGGTTGAGATGGGAAATAACTCTAACGTATCTTATAGAGGATTAAGGATACGACCTTGCCCAAGATCCCATGAAACGCGCTCTTGCATTCTCGTAAAAAATGTCCTTAGACAAACGCAAGCAAACATTCGCTTTTACATTATATGCCTACAATTGATCCACCTTTACCGTTTACGTTTTCAAATGGTCGAAATTATATCTTTATTTTCTCATCCATAAACCTAAGAATAACCCACTCTGCTGTGCGGATTCACACCAGCCTAGCTTTAGTAGACCGGAAATAGACCAGTTGATGTCATAATTTGACCCAATGGGTTCACATGCAGCCGGTCAGTTCAAAGATATTTAATGTTTTCTATATATTACTGTTTTTAGTGAGTCTGGTTGGAAAGGTAAATTTTGGAGAGTGCATTAGGCTTATGCTTTATTCCGGCAGCTATATTATCGTCAAACGGGTAAACAGACGGTGATCAACAGTAAACAAACACACCAAGATAACCTATCCCTCGTTATCAGGCTAGTCGCCATTTTATCTCTTCTGTCAAAGGTCGTCTGCTGTTCCTTACAGGGTGGCTCAAAATTACATCAATGCCTTTAAAAAGTCCTGCAGTTGGACCCAAAATACGCGGTCTACCAAATTTTAAGCGCACCTACTGCATTGTGAGCAGATACCGGTATTGTACATGTGCAACTTTTAGAGCGAAAATGCCGTTATCAAACGAGCGTGCAAGGGCAGTGTCCAAGTATGACTTTAAAGATTGTCCAAAATTTGTAAAGACTCTCCCCCCCCCCACCCCCGACCACCTCGTCTTGTTAAACAAAGGGTGCATTCCCATTAACACATAGATCGACTCAGCGCTGCTGGGATTCTCGCAGAATACAATCAGCTAAGCGGATTAACACGCCTCCTCCTGGTTTTAAATAGAATACAGAAAAGCTGGTGATTATACGAGTGTAGTGGAAACAGAAGGAGGCGTGTCATTCAATTAAGCTGATTGCACTTAACGAGAGTCCCCGCATAGATCGGTCGATCTACGTAAATCAAAGGTGTCTTTATCGGTATGGGATCAAAAAATAAAAGATGCATCTCGAGTTTGAACAGCATTGTTCTTTTGCGAAAGCGCAATGTCTTTGTTTTTCACCAAAGCTGAAGTACGATTTACATGTTCTAGTATATACTTGTCTAAGATCGGTGTATCGTGACACAGAGAAATTGCCGTGTCCCGTTACTGCTAGATCGTCAGGTTATCAGATAAGTGTTCACTGACAACGCTCTTCGTGCTGGAATGCGCCACACTTTGTGGGAAAGTTCTTCCTTTCTTTACTGTAATTTTGACACATTGTTAGATACTACACAGGGAATAAATTGTCAGTTATAATAAATGTAATATATTTATTACGATAAATATTAAATTCCAATGTTGACCTTCAAACAATTCCGTGCTGTGAAAAATGAAATGCATTTAAAGATACATAGTTTCGAATATTGTAACTGAGAGAAATAGCAAGGGACATCGTTTCATATTTCTTGAAAAATTATATTTGAATGAATATTTTATGCTTTCTTTCTGTGCTATAAATATCCCTCAGCAGTCTCATTTGAATGAGTAGACCTAATGCAACTGCGCTCACGGCTATACATCAATACAGGCGAGTGAGAGTAATCATTAATAATTATTAATTGCAATGCGCATATAATCCAACGTCATTTAAAGGGCCTTTATTGATTGGAGGGAGCGACGACTCTGTTAATTTACGAACAAAGATTTGAAGGAAGTGCATTTTTAAAGCTATTTATTTATTATTATTAATTTGGTTTATGAATTGGCATGTCGACTTTATATTAGTTGTATAAGAAACTTGTAGAAGTGGATTACACGCGTTACTGGAAATCCACGCTCGCTTTATTGGTAACTTTAGAGATACATGTACAGAAAGCAGAAAATATCCGTCCAAATATCTTTTCGGGAACTATGAAACGATGTTCTTTGGTATTTCTATGAATTTTAAATTTGCAACTTTTTCGTGGCGTTTGGTCGGGGTTTGTGGCAGAACGTTGACTTTAAATGCATCTTTTACAATTAGAGCGTGAAAATGTGTACAATCTACATAAACAATTCGGTAACGTTTAATTTATATTCACGTAAAGGCACAGGTAAACAGCACGTGCGCTCGCCTACAGATGTCATGTGTCAGCACACCTCATCACGTGACCATGTGCCAATTAAGGTGAAAATAAAAAAGGACGAATCATTATGTTGAAGTAATAAATTCTCTGCAAATCTGAGTCAATGGTTCAAACAATGCCACGGTATTGTGCGTTTGGCCCTACCTTCGGCTGCGATTGAAAAACGGTTAATAAATTCAGGCACTGTGTTATTAACAATACCAGATGGCAGTGACAAGACCTACTTGAGTCATCCCATCTTTTTTTATTCGACTGCATTCATTATAGACCTGTTTACTGTTTACATAAGGTTCCATTTGGTTTACTTGCACATAAACAAGTCACACATACACGTGTTCATACTGATAAGGACATTACACAGGTTTATTTATACACGTCCTTTTTGTATGCTTCACTTGTTAAATAAAGGGGCTTGGTATGTGTGAATTAATCATAGATTTTAAGAATTCTTTTCTTTTCACTTTTGTTAATGGTTTAAAAGGCAGGTGACTAACATTATATATTATCTTCTTATTTAATATTGTTTCGTTTGTATTATTACTTGCTTCCATATCTCTCTCTCCCTCTCTCTCTCTCCCCTTCATCAATAATAAGAATTCAGTTTAATGTTTCACGGAAGATAAAGTGACCGTAACCAGCAACCGCAAAGTGCATATTAAATGATATCTGGTTTTAAAACACATAATTTACCGTCATCCCATCTCGACTTGCCTGAAGCACACAATTTATTAGGCATTTTGACATGTGTGTGAAATCAAGCTTTCGCCGCTCAAAGCCACATCTCTTGAGACTTTGGAGAAAACATCCTCTTTCGAAATTCTAAATTTTAAAGTCGGGTTTATGAAGGGGGGTTACAACCTTTCCAAACCGCGCTCTCAAATTTAAAGTAAGCCTCTATAAGATTTTTTTTTCGAAAGAAAGAAAATGAAAGCAAGCAAGAAAGAAAGACTATTGAAACTAAAGTAATTTTATTAGTTTGGTCGACAAATTACGGTATTCAGACCATACTTCGCTATCAGGAGTATCAACTTGAACTCTCCTCTACTGTGCTCGTCTTGGCTCTATTCCAGACGGAACTCAATTCTCCTCAAATTGATATAAATATAGAATAGAATAGAATAGAAAGCAATTCACCCGTACGTGTGCGAGCACGCTCACACCGGCGCACACGTGCGCCAAATGTAAACATTGATATCCCTTTTTTATAGTCAACATCAGGGTATTTACCTTTTATTTACCTTGAGATTATCGACGATTACGAAATAAATCAATTAGCTAATGAACTAGATGTGCCTTATTGAGAAATAGAAGCAAAATGATAACGAATCATTTAACAAATAAAGTTTTTTTAATAAAACAGTGAAAACAATAATAAATAAATAAATAAATAAATAAATAAATAAATAAATAACGCACCAGGATTATTGGTCTTGAAATTGTGTGCTCTTCCATGCATTTGTGCCTAGGACAAAATAAGGGCAAACGAAAGAAATTTTTCAATAATACATGTAGCAGACGATAGAGCTGCACTAGCAAATAGCAGTCACGTGATGAAGAGAATGCGGGTGAAAGGCGAAATTTCACTACTACTGCTCCGTAGCATGTTTTCTAAACACTATTTGACCTCTTTTTAAGGTAACACAACGCGCACTGCAGTCAGGGCTTCATATACGGCGTTGCAATCATTGAGGGAGAGTGACGGGCTGAAGAGTGAAATGAGGAAATGTCGAAACAAACAGACGATTACATGTGCAACGGAGCGCGCACCATGGGATCAGCAGGCCGTCACCATTCAGTGAACAGCAGGGACCATAATTGAATGCATCATTCGACCTTGAGCAAAACAAAAAGAGAAAAAAAAGAAGATCATTGACTCTTCAATATTAGCGTGCTGTCTGTGAGTAATACCGGATACATATAGACCATTGGAGATAGATTTGCGACATATCCGCTCGAAAATGAAGACGGAAACAACACGTTCTTGAGCGGCGCAGTTTTTGGGCTTCCACATTCACTCTCTCTCTCTCCGAGCCAACGGGAGAAAACTGGAAGGAAAACAACTCCGTTTATTCAGCGCAGCATGCACAAAAGCCTTGCGCCTTGACTTTAAAGCCTGCGTTTATTTGACGATCCGTGTTACCTTTAGCAAAAGCACACATATAGACGTGGGGCCTTTCAATTTTTAACAGCGATATCCTGGTTTCAAGGGCACGTCTGTGGTATATAATCCACAGGGGACTCAGTACAGCTGACAGCAAGAAAACCCATATCAGTTGGATGAATCAACGCAGGCAATATTGACTGCACGGTACTGTGGTGTAAAACCCAGGTCCCTTGTACTGTGACCTGTGATTGATTTTTTTTTTTAAGGTTAGGGGCGTGAGAGAGGGGCTGTGTACAAATTCCGGGGCTCTACCCCACCCCCCAATGCGTCCTGGTCATGGTCAGAGCCGATCTGGAGCTCGAGTTGTACAACCTTAACACACCGCCGCTCGGACCTAAGGGAACACAGGGCCAACCCCCCGGGGAGGACATCCCCTACACCAGCAAGGCACCGAGCTGCATGGGAAAAACTGGGAGGATGTTGAAAAGAATTCGGCGACTGAGCGGGGAAGGTCTCGCGGTGAAGTAAGTGGTGTTTACTTTCTCATGTTTACATTATTTACAATCCAGCGCGAGAGAATGGCCGCGCATTGCCTGGTTTTAAATATAACTCAATCTACACGTACATATAGCATCCCCCGTATCATAGGGAACATACTTTATAAACATGACCTTTTAGGGTCTGGCAATCATATTAAAATTCAACTTCATAGCAAGAGCCACCCGAAATTTATCAGGCTCTCACTTAATTACAAATCCAACATCATCTTGGCATGTTTTGTTCCTGCACGGTGCTGTATTTGAATAGCCCTGGGATCACTGCCAACTTCTGCTGCCCTAGTATAATTATTATATATGCTGCCAATCTTGAAATGAAAAAAAAATTCGAAATGAGTTATGAGTTATCCCAGGAAGTCACGACATGAACCTTAAGCACTGCAGTAATCGTGCTGTACTTATAAATAACGTATAGACCTATATATATACATATACATATACTGTGCTTGCTTTGGACCACTTAAATTAAATGCAGCGTAAACACTGTATTGCGCCATCGTCAATGCATACTTATAGGCAACAATTGAAATGGAGGTTCTTTTTCTGAAAATGTGAACCTTTTTAATGGGAAACCTACGTCTGTTAATATTTGTGTTTATATTTTGACTCAGAGCGGACTATCTCTCGTCCAAATGGGTGGTGCTTTAACCCCCCCCCCCCCCAACTACACCCCTACCCCCTTGCCTACCAGTTCGGGTGGAATACGTGTTTTTCTTCTAACCCCCTATTCTCAACCGCTGGAATAACTAAAAGCTCATTTCCAAGTCGTGATTTAATGGTCTATGTGACGGTTTTTTATACAACATATCAGATATATTTACAAGGCGCTCCTCACTCATGAATGACGAAACCGCCATAATGTTCTACATTCTGTAATTTATGGTCTATGGTAATGTAATGTTAAGTACGGTGTCTGTTTGCTGTCTGTGTAGCCCTTTCCTGCAAAAATCTAGTTGAAGAGCTGCCTGATCAGTCATACTTGGCAACCGAGATGTAGTCATGGTCTGCCGGACCTTGAAGAAAATATTTCCAAAGCCAGCGGCGTGATTTCATAATCTAAAATAGAGTGCATGTGGACTTCTTTTTGGTTATCTCTAGCTATCAGTAGAGTCAGACTGCCAATGTGTTTTAAAAAGATAAGCCATTTTACACGGTGTTAGTTATGTACATGTATACTGTATGCAGAGTCGAGGAGATATTACGCTATGACTGTATTTTTAAAAGCCAAGATCTAGGTACATGTATGCGCATTTAAATGGAATCAATCCACCACATAACACATATTACAGGGTTGCAAGTCACGTACACGTATTGAATGGAACACTTGTAAACCTCCCTCTTCTTGAATAATACCCACACTCTGCATAAAAAGTAAGCAAACAGCCTGCGTAACGACACAATAACAGACAACGGGGAGGAAAACAATGTGCGTTGACCAAGAAAAGTTCTATACATACAGTAAACTACGGTAAACATTTGTTTACCTGTGGGGGGAGAGAGAGAAGTGAGATATTGTTACGCGTACAGCGCATTGATAACGTGCTGTAGTATATGGTGGCTATTTTTCAGTGGCCCTCCTTCTCTCTCTTTCTCTCTCTCTCTCTCTCTCTCTCTCTCTCTCTCTCTCTGTGTGTGTGTGTGTGTGTGTGTGTGTGTGTGTGCGCGCGTGTTTGTGCGTGTGTGTGCGTCCCCTCTTTGCCACCATTTTGATATGCTAGAGCCACTAGTGTTGGATCAAGGGATTTGAGGATTTACATACATAACCCACATGCAGTGTTTATCATTGCTGGTTTTCATAAAAATGACTCAGCGCGTTCAGAATGCATGTGTGGTATCGGTAAATAAAAGATGATTGGTGTCATTTACTATCTGTTATGAAGGAGCCGTGTTGTATTTGAAAGGGAACGCCGACGTTAACTGATATATCGCAGTAGGTTGAAAGGAGCTCAGCACGGGCCCACTGGGCACGTGAATATATATATAGAGGCTTTATTGAATGACTTTGGTATTTACATCCTCATGAAACAGATACCGATGATGAAGATATATTTTATCTCTCTCGCGCGCGCACACATACACACGCAAAAACGCACATGCACGCGCACGCAAGCAATCATGCACGCACGCGCCCATTTTCAGGGGCACACGTGCGGAATTTCTATACTCTGAACACGGTGTTCACTAGTACTGGTCGTCTGTTATAAAATTCATCTTTTCGCCTGAGATATAAGTTTGCAAACTGTTAAGAGACCCCTGAAATCAGACGGTATAGAATATCCTTGTTCTGTTTCTTTCAGATCATCTTTCCACTGAACGAGTGCAACGCGAGACAATATTTATATGTGCTTCAAGTTCACAGGAAGAAACTGCCCAATGTACCGCGAAAGAATTTTGCTTTAACAAAGAAGCATTTGATTCAAAATAGATAAAAAAAGAGATAACGCGAAGAATACCAAGAAGGCGCCCCTCGATGCCATTGTCACTGATATATGAACTTAAGCTGTCAAAAACATGTTTTTCAGCGGCATTCAGACAGGGACTATTTAAAACCGATAAATCGGCCAAAAACGCGTCTCCGGAGTTTTTTCTCTCAAGATTGTTTGAGGTTCTACGCCATTTGTTTTCCTATACATCATTTATTTTAATCACAAGTTGTTTGCAGTCGCAAAGTTTATGATCCTTGTTTTGTTGTCATCGTATCCGGTTCGAACATGACCACGTACATGTAAAAGTCATGTTAATTTAAAAAAAAACAGGTTCTATCCCTAGGCATGTTGAATGAGTATGAACTACTTTCAAATCAAAAATAGAAATAGCGGAAGTATTTATCTTTATGATGTCACAGAGAGTGCGATTATCTTCACATAGGTGCATTAAAGTAACTTAAAATCACAGATTTAAATCTCCGACTTTTATCTCATAAAATGCACCCTTTAATTCTGTAACGGCTTTTATCCGCTCAACTTAATATGAAAATGTGTATCCGCAAAACACAAGCTGCGGTCTCATTACAAGACTCATTCCTCAATGGGGTATTTTTCTATAATTGCAATTTACAGCGAAAAAAGTGTTCCTAAATCTATAAAAAAAACAAGTCAGTTTTGAAGTAAAAATAGTTGCAAGGCATGTGCACGTGCGAGCGTGGCGTGGACGTCGTTGTTGCTCGATGCGTATAGTTTAAAAAGCGCGTGTTTGAGGCGGGGGGGTGCTGTTTTCATGTGTTCGCTTCTGCTTATATATATCGGTTACATGTAATTGCACCCAAGTTGAAGACTGAACTCTCTCTCTCTCTCTCTCTCTCTCTCACGCCAAAAAGTTTCATAACCCTGTCTGACAGTAGTTATACAAGCAGAGACAATACCTAAGCCCCCAGAACAGAGCTGTAATAGTTATCGAGCGACGTTGTATAGTGCCTGGGATCTGTTAGAATCCAAGTGTCGTTTGTATTTCGGTTGATTTCCACTTGAAACTGGCAGATGGAGTCTACCAGTAGATCAAAAAGATAAAGTCTGTATTTTATGCGCCATTTACGCACTAGGTGGTGAATTATTACTCAGCTCTACTAAATTTTACAGCTAGTCAAAATTCCAATTTCAAGAGGAGACCATTGGTGGGATTGTTTTCAGAAATCAAAGGGGGGGGGGGGGGGGGGGAAGGCGGGCCCCCCCACCCCCCCCCCCCCCCCCCCCCCCCCCCCCCCCCCCCCCCCCCCCA